CAAATCGAATATTCTGTGTCAGTTACCTCTTGTCCTGTGACTGTACTTTCAAGAGCCTGGCCCTGTCCTCTCTCTACCTTCCCATTAGGTAGTTGCAAACAGCAATAAGATCTCCCTTTAGCCTTCACTTAAGGCTTAACTATGCAAAGTCTCTTAGATTTTTCTCATGCGTCATATGCTGCAGCCCTTAAACCATCATGGTGACCCACCATTGAACTCAGTCCAGTAATGTCAATATCGTTCTTATACTGAGAAGCCTGATCAGCATGCTCAACTTACTGTCTGACGGGATGTCATCCTTACCCGCTCATTCAGACCGCAACTGCCTAATTTGGCTACAAGGATGCTGCAGGAGACTCTGTCAGAAGCCTTGTTTTACTAACGTTATTCAATGTCCATTGCTCTCTCCTTGTCCACGGAGCCAACCATCTCATCACAGAAGGCAGACAGGTTGGTCAGGCATAATTTGTCCTTGGTAAATCCATGTTGTCTACTTGGGACTACCTTCTTATTCTTTACGTGTTGGGAAACAGCTTCCAGGAGGATTTGCATCATAATTTTCGTGGAGACTGGAGTGAATCTGACCAGCCTGTAGTTTCCCACATCCTCCTTCTTGCCATTCTGGGAAGTGGATATGAGGGTTACTAAGAGTAATCCATGTCCAAACAGACACTCTGCACTAGCTGTGACAAATCAGGTGCTTAAGAGTTTTACTTGTAAGACAGAGTAAAACTCACTGTTGTGACCACAAAGCAGCTTTTAGCATAGTTCCTTCTTTCCGAAGAAACATGAGTTCTTGAAGAGAATTACCTGACAAAGCTCTTCTATGAAGTTTGCATGAAACAATCCTTACAGAAACAGTCCTTACAACAGGAGCCAGCACCTGAATTTTCTTTTTCCTCCTCTCTAGGAGCATTCCTATTCAGTATGAACTGTTGTATATACACTTCTTTTCCCTTTTACAGGGCTATTGGATCTTCAGTTCTTTCCTGCAGCATAGCTTTATCAGGCAGAAGTGAATACATTGGCTTTGATATAATATCATCTGTTTGTTAAGTCACTCCAAAGACTCATGAAGTGATACTGGTTTTAATCTCTTTGGGCCGAGGAAGCTTTAGACCCGCATCTCTAGCATTCTGAGCTGATATTCAGACGGCTGCCAGATGGAAGGTAGTGCTCCACCTACAAATGCTGTCATGTTTTGTGAAAAGCTGAATTCAGTCAGGATGTGTTAAGATCTCTAAGGAACCAGATGTTCACTCCTGTCAAGATGACATCAGTTCGGGCATGTTAAATATCAAGGACGACTTTGTAGGTAAAAATGTAAGTACCTACTTCTAATGTTTTAAGGGATTAAGGATATTTTTGTGGCTCTTATGCTAGGACCTAGATGCTTGAATCCTGCCTGAAGTATATTCTCTTGTAGATATGGGCCTGTGTCTTTATGAAACGTTCTGTTTTAGTGAGGCATGTCTGAAGACGGAATGTCCGTGTTGTTTTGTAGTAACACATTCGATCGGAAGGTCTCCCAAGATTAATCGGTATTCTCTTAACTGTTCAATTTCTGTCTAGATGCCTCTAATAAGTTCTCGTTTTGTTAATGAGAATTTTGTAGGATCCCCTAAAGATTTTAAATCAACCCAGGTAGTGATTCCCTAAAGACTTCTACCTTCATAAGTGTTAACCAATGTCAAATGGAAATTTATAAACATTGCTTAAACTGCCTGATTTCTAGCACATGCTTACTTTGTACTTGTATGGTTATGCTTGTTGGAACTCATTTGGTTGTCAAAGAGTTGCTTAACATGTTGATTTGAAGTCCTCCAGTTCCCAAGTGAAAAGTGGTTATTAGACATTTACTGTAGTCAGAGGAGGACTGGTGGTGAGACTCTTAAAGTCATTGTGTAACTGTGCTATTAAACAGTTCCCACCTGTTCAAGAGAACACATCTCAAAAGATTGTGAACAATTCGGAGCTAACACAACTAGTTAATCTTTTTGTCTTTGGGAATCTCATCGTGCAATCAGTACAGATTCAATATACTATATAGCGAGGAGGAGCTTGCTGCTCCTCATATAAACAGGCAGTGTGGCTTAGGGAAGTAATATTTGCAATATATACTAACTCAAATTAATTCTTCATAAGTTTGCGTGCTTTCTGGTGCAGACTGTTTTTCACAAACAAAGAGAAGATAGGCATTTGCGTCGTCTCCTCTTTACAGCTTTCCTTTCCTCCCTTCCACTCTTCCTTATGAAAAAAGACCTTTTCAGAACCTAGGGTCAGCTAACAGCAGTTTGCAATGTCTAGCTTGCTGCTCATATGAGGTACGGTCCAGGCTTGTTCATATGTTGCTTTTTGTTCTGTTTCTTTACCATTGGATTAACGCTTTTAGTTACCTTGGACTGTCTTTTAGCTCACTTCAATTGGTAGAGAAAGTTCTGTCAGACCTTTACAAGAATTTTTCCAGCCTCCAGTTTCACTTTGAGATGTAATACTGTAATGGATAATATTACTTTGTGTCACATTTCTGTCTGGATGTTCACTGCTTGTGCAGTGGGGTTGCTCATTACAGTTGCTTAGCGAAGCTGGAAACTTGCACTTTGCACCAAATTAATACCTTAGGAAAAAGTCTGCTTGTTGGCACACTATTCAGGTTTCTTGTAATATTAATATTTAAGCATCTGGTCAAGCTCCTCCAGCCTGTGGCTTCTTCCCACCCCTCCTCTCCCCAGATTTCTCTCCCTTTTAAGCTCTGTTTGGAATGCTTTTGGTGTCATTGTTACCACTGTGTTGATCCAAGGCAGTTTCAGTTGCCTCTTCTAAAATAGTATAGAAGCATGATGGCAAATTTGTTAAAGATATAGTTGGAATTAAATTTGCTCTGAATTGGTTTTGAATTGGAACACCTCCAGGGTCACTTCCAACCTGACAGTCTACAATTCTGTCATGTGTTTATCTTTCCAAATGAAATTTTTTTGTCTTCCTCTTTCTCCACATCCTACCTAGTGCTTTAAAAGTGGGGTTGTTTTCTAAGCATTTGAAGGAACTCTGTAGTGCATGATTGTTTGTTGTAAACTGACTGACTTTTTTCATACTCTCTTTAAGGCATCAGCTACCTTTCCCCCCCACCCCCAAGAAACATTTCCTGTTATGAAGTCTCTGAAATTGCACAGAAACCCCTCTTAACAGTGCTTTCTTTTAATTACGTCTTAACTTTTGATATCATATTTGGAACCTGAACTTTGTCAGGTCTCTATCATCCTGCATTCCAGATGGGAATGAAGTGGGCTTCTGCACTGGAAACAGTTAACTTGAATGTATTGTTTGGGAGGGCCTTCCATGGTAATTCCCATGACTCTTCTCCCTCACACTTTTCCAAGGATGGCTTTATCCAACCTTAGTGAATGGAGCAGAGCATTTCCCTCCCTGACTCGCTGCTTGTTTTCAAAGAGGGTAGGATAGGTAGAGAGACAGAAGAAGGTACACAGGCATTGTTGTGCAAGGTTCATGGTTATGCATGAAGTATCTTTGCCCTTCAAAGTAGAATTTGTGCCAAATTCTTCACCTTTACCTTCTTTATTCACCCCCCACAAAAAGCTATTCTTTATTAACAGAACTGCCTTAACACAATTTGTATTTCTTACAATACAGGGAATGTGCTAATTGCTGCCTTTGAGAATATGGGACTGGCAGAAACTACTTGGATCACTGTCAAATATTGATTTTTTTTTTTTTTAAACTTTTTTTTTTTTAAATCAATATATCTGCATGTTGTTATGGTGTAGTTGGGTTAGAAATGTAATCAGAAGCATACTGACATGTGTTAACTAGCCAGATGTCATAGAAAAATGCTGATAAATCTTAAATATTTCTTCTGTATGTTTCATTACAGCAGGCAAGTATTTTCTTGAGATAAGTTAATTTGCATGGGGGCCAATCTGTAGCTGACATCATTAATCGGTTTATTCCCTCCCTTCATGCTTCACTTCAGTCCTTTCAATTTAGCTTGTTTTAACTCCATTGCAACAATTTTGAGTTTGTAAGTTCACTCTTTCATCCGGTTTTCAAATTTGTTAAGTAAATAAGTAAATACATTGCAGTGCTTTCACTTTAGCAGAAATGCAAAACTAACCAGCAATCTTTGACAGGGTGATTGATACTGTTATGGTGTGGATTGGGACAGTTATTTTTTGCAAATTCCTTGCCTTTAAAAGTAGTTAAAAAATTTAGCACTACTTCTCAGTGTCACTTAAAGATGTACTGTACTGGTATCTGTCATTCAGTATGTGGAATAGAACCCTGTGGAGATAAATTCAATCAGTACAGGTGTGATTCACTATAAACCCAAGAAATTTGTGTGTTTTAAATTTCATTCTGTGTTTTTGTTTTAGATGTGAATGTTGATCTGATCTAGGTACTCAGCCAACTGTGTTCTTTTTTTTTCTCCTTTTTTATGACTATTGACTGTTTGCAATCAAGGACCAGATAAAATCAGTTTCTGGCAGGTGGGGATTGACTGATGGCTTTGCACGTGAGCAAGAAAGGAAAAAGTGAAGACAGCCTTCAGCTCCCTTGTGGTTTGCCTGAACTGATACTAGCAGGCTGATAACACACAGATTTGACTGAAGTAGGTTTATATAACACTTTGGGGTTTTTTTCCATAGTAGCAGCGATTTAAGCATTTTCCTCTCCTATTTTGAGGGTTTTTTTATTTTGAAGTTCTTTGTGTCAAACACTAAAAAGCACATATAGGTCAAGCAAAGAAATGTTTGCCAGTACGAACTCTGTGCTAAGCATTCTGGGAGAGTGCTTTCTTGCAGCAGATGACGATTCTTTGTGGCTGGCAGCAGAAACTGCAGCAGTATCTTTGCAGTTTCCTTTCATCTCTGATTATGTTCTAAGGATCTCTGAAATAT